AAATATTTCAGGTGCAGCAAATTGTAAGTGAATAGTATGTTTCTGATTAATTTTTGTGGGCCAGATAGACAGACACTTTCTGCAAAAACCTTCATCTTTACAGAGGCAGAAGGGGTCAAGCTCAGTTCTGTAGAGCTTGATTTCCTCTGCACTATGGGACTAATATTCTACTACTTCTGAGTGAGAAGAACTGTGCTTATTTCATAGTTCTGCTGACTTTACTAGTGTTCTCACAAGTTGACACCCATCAAAGATAATTTTGCAGTGTATCCAATACATTGAAAAAGACTTGTCATTTTTACAATGTGCTTATGATCTAGTCTTGCAGCCAGGATTATGGTTTATCCCAGTCTGGAAAATTTATGAGGATCCTGATTCTGGAATATTATTCTGGAATCACTAATTCAGATCAGTCCTCATGTAGTTCCAACATTCTAATGTAGCAGTGTACAACTCAGATTTAAACTGGAATAAAGCCTGCATAGTTTGGAATCAGAAAATCCACCTGGATACCCAAAAATAACTATTCTGGAATTATTATTTCAATTCCATGTGTTGGCAAGCTCTTCTGGACACATGAGCACCTAGTAATGGTTTAGACCACATACTCATTGTTAACTTGCATGGTACTAGTATATAGGAATAATTATTCTAATATATAGTGTGTTTATTACCAGGAAAATAGGTTTCTACTGAGTGTGAAAGTACTTTTGAGGATGCAAACTAGGGCAAAATAAAGGAATGCAACAGTGCTTGAAATACTTAATCCAGTAATCTTGGTGGAGTTCTAGGACTGAATCACAGAATCACAGAATACTCAGAATTGGAAGGGACCCACAAGGGATCATTGAGTCTAACTCCTGGCCCTGCATAGGACAGCCCCAAGAATCACACCATGTGCTGGAGAACATTGTCTAAACACCTCTTGAACTCTGTCAGGCTTGGTGCTGTGACCATTTCCCTAGGGAGCCTGGTCCAGTGCCCAACCACTCTCTGAGTGAAGAACATTTTTCTAGTATCTAGCCTAAACCTCCCCAGACACAGCTTTGGGCCATTCCCTTAGATCCTGTCACTGGTTGCCAGAGAGAAGAGATCAGTGCCTGCCCCTCCACTTCCTTTTGTGAGGAAGTTGTATGCAGCAATCAGATCTTCCCTCAGTCTTCTCCAAGCTGAACAGACCAAGTGACCTCAGTTGCTCCTCATGTGGCTTCCCCTCAAGGCCCTTCACCATCTTCGTCGCCCTCCTTCGGGCGCTCTCTAATAACTTAATATCTTTCTTTTGTTGTGGTGCCCAAAACTACATTTAGTATTCAAGGTGAGGCCACACCAGCACAGAGTAAAGTGGGACAATCACTTCCTTTGACTGGCTGGCAATGCCTTCCCTGATGCACCCCTATAAAATATAATATATAATAAGGTATAACAAAATATATATCCAAGTACCTAATAAGGTATAACCACAGTTATTTTTTCTTCTGGTAGTTAATCCAGTAGTCGTTTTAGTACTGTGCTGCTTTATTTGTCTTCTGTGTATGTACAGATTGTTAACTGATGTCTAACACTGACACCAGAATAAGAATAATGAAGTTCAGAGAGTGAAAACTTACAGTTACAGCAGCATAGCAATGATAATGCTATTTTGGAAGGCAATCTTGTTGCCCAGTAGTATGTTAAGCAGATAATGTAATAAATTATCAAAAATTTCCAGAAGTTGCTTTTTTTTATACCAGGGAAGTCACTACTTGTACAGCTTTTAGTGGATGGAACCATTTATTTACGTAGACAATATTGTCTACGTAATAATGTCATAGCAAGATTAGTTTTCAAGTCTTTCAAGTATGTGAAACCTATCTTCTATCAGGAATACCAATTCTTGACCCTTGCTTGGTAAGATTTTAAAGAACTTTGGGCTGATACAACCTTTCATTGTCCTTACTTTCAGAACTGATGCACTGAAAACTCCAGTACAAAGCATAACATTGACAAATTCAGCTGACACAAATCACTGTCATCCAGGGTTGCTTTTGAAGGCTACAGGTGCCAATCAAAGAAATCTGGCTGGTTCTTTGTTTCGGGGGACAGAGTCTTTATGCCCCTGCTACAGATCTTATTCCTTATTACAGGTGCATAGAGCCTTTAAAGTAAATAGCAAACACTGCATCTTTAGAGAGTTTAATAGTTATCTCGTCATGATAATCTTTCTATTTATCTCATGTTGTAGTTAATTACCAGGTATACAAAAGTCAGTTGTGCTTCACGCTTGGCCTAATCAACACCAAAGTAGTACAGAGAGCTGAAGAATTCATAGTGAAAACAGCTCCAGTGAATAATGCTGATGGTCTTCTGTGAAAGTTTGATAAATATGTGTGAATTGCAATCCTCAGGCGATATCAATATAATCTGGCCAGACCTTAAGGATTTTCCCCAAGGAGAACTTAATTTAGGTAACTGCTCTGCTGGCTTTCTCCTGGACTTTGAAGATGCCAGGGGTTTTTTTTGAGACCTGATTCTAAGTACTGACACATCCCAAATTGTTTTTCCCTAGCTGACTCCTGAAACCAGCAGGATTATGACAGGATGTTCAAAACTACTCAGGCATTGGCAGAAGTCTGTGTGAGATACCCCCCACCTGCCCTCCATGAAAACTGTCAATCCAAGTAACTAGCATGGGCAACTCACACACAATGAAAATATCATGACATAATGGAAAGTGCTAAGGAAACCAAACTACAGGTGTGACAACAGGCTCTGCCTGTGGTATGGTCTGCTGTCACAGTAATAAAATGTAGCAAAATGCACCTAAAACACACACACACACACACGCAAAAGGTTTAAAAAAATGAAGCAGAGAAATAAAGAAAATTTAGCCTCCAAAAGTAAAACTATAATTTCAAAGGCTTTCATTAACGGTGCTTGTGGGAGCTGAGTCATGAGCTGACTGAATCAGTGGGAATGGCTGTCAGAGGCAACAACATGTCACAGAAAATTGCTGGAGGAACAGATTTACAATATGCAGAGCATATTGGAGTGATAATTAAGGAGAGGCATAAACTACAAATAAAAGCAATAACCACATGCGTTAGAGGATAGTATGGGAACATGAATCAAGGAAGAGTGAAATAAAATTTAAAATAGACAGTCTCAAGAAAATGATCTTGACATCTAGATATTAGCTTGTGGAACAGTCTGCTCAATAGAGGGACTGAAGTTGCATTGTCTGATAACTTAGCAATAAACCTAAACAAAGAGATTAGAAAATATGATTCTATTAGGCATTGAGCACCCTGCCATTGACACAAATAGACAGAGCAGATGAGCCAGTATGTCTTCAGCCTTTTGTCTTTTTTTTAAGGCTGTTATTCATACACAAGCACGCTCTATTTATCGATAATTATGTGAAGTAGATATTAAAGAATACACATGCCCTTGATCTGGGGAAGAAACTAGTTATTATCGATGGAATTTCAGAGTATAGCCTTGGCACAGTTATACAGCCCTAAGTATGATAAATGTGATAAATAAAATTAAAATGATCCTCAAAAAAGAACCACAATGTCCCAAGACATTAACTTAGTCAAAGTTTACCCATTACTCTATTTACCCATTGCTATAGTATAGAACTAATATTTGGCAACATAACAGAAGAATGTGAGTATTAAAGCACCCAGTAATGCAGTGACTAAGTTTCAGCTGTTTCATTGACCTAGAGAAATTTATAGCCCCAAGTAAGGTAACTATAGTCTTTCCATATGCAAAAACCCAAATATGCTCGAAATACAGCATAAACCAGGAATAAACTAGTCAAACCAAAAGTAAGTTATAGGCGAGAGAAAATTTACACCTGCATTCTCCAAATAATCTGAGTCCCTAATGATAAGGAGATTCCTTATTTTGCCTGGATCACACCTGTAAAACCTCACCTTTCTTTCAAAAGAGCTAGAATTGCTGGTGAATTCTTTAACCAAGATGAAAGCAAGGATGGCAACCCTTTGGTGCAGTGAATATTTAATTACTATAAGAAAAGTCATACAACTACAAAATATATGATTGCGAAACCCCACAAGGAGTAATTTTATCTCCTTTTAAGTAAGTCATTCCAGTGGAAGAAGAGACTTACGTACCTCTGGGCAGAGAAATAAATTATCATTTGAGCAGGATTTGAATCATTTAACTACTGTTCCACTCAGTAAAATGGGAATGGCACCACTTCGTTTTGTTCTGTCTTAAAAGAAAGTTTTCAAGTCAGTCTTGTTCTCAGATCAGTGGCTTTCACTGGTCTCCTGCATGGTACCAATCCCCATGGTGAGCCAGGTCCCTTGGAAATGTCCTTCCACTGTCTCCAAGCCACAGCTCTACACCTGAGTCCTGTCATCCCCTCCCTGCTGTGACAACCTGTATGTTTCCTCTGACAGCCAGAAACATTTCTGCCTGCAAATGGTCATTGCCTTTTATGAGAGGTACAATCTTTCTCTGCTGCACAAATAACACCTCTGTGATCCTGAGTGTAGCAGCCAAGAAAAGCAACTGGTGGCCTTTCTCCCTGCCTTTAATAGCCCAGCTTTTCAAAGGAACATACAATAAACAAGCTGAAGATAAAACAAGCTGAAAAAACAACCACATAACTCTGTCACAGGTCTCAAAACATCCTCATACTTGTACAGAGTCTATCTGACATAACACAGAACAATTGTACTGAATTACTGGGACCACACATATCAGATACCTGTTTTCTGTATGAACCCTTTCTTACTGTTTCACTTAACAATTCAGAATCTGCATAATGACACTTAAATATCAATATAATTCCTTGAGAGCCTCATTCAGTCCTAACAAGTTAGTACAAGTTAGAGACAATTCTGATAACCCGTGTACACAGAAAGTCATTGCCAAGAGGACAATAAATTTGGATTACTACTTGCAGTCATTTTTCCTTCCCATTTTTCTGCAACCTCCTGCACGTATTTTTCTCCAATCAAATAAAACTAACTGATTCTTCATACCTGTATGTTTTGTAAAAGAGACATCTCTTCAGGGGAACCTTAATCACATGTTCCTGAAGGCCCACGAAAAGGACACTCTGGCTGTGCAGGATCTGAAGGCTCCTGATGGGCTCTCGCTGACTTTTCGGCAGGAGTTCAATTTCCTCGAGCAGGCAGCTGCTTGAAGTCTGGTTCATTGGGGCAAGCACTTTCTTAATAGTGCCATAGTCTGAAAAGGGAAGAGGAGAATGAGTTATAAAAAATCACATTAGCAATTCTACCTACTTGGTGTCATTCAGAGAACAAATCTTTGTCATATGCTGGATGTTTTCAATGAAGCTTCAGAATGGGGGAGTATTTTGTCCGAAGTTTCCTAAATTGCTTATAGTAATAGTACAATGAAAAAAACTTAGAAAATATTAATGGCTGTTTTCATGTGATGTAATATAATGTAAAAAATAAAAAAAAGTTTTTAGTGCAGGACAGAGCTCACAGCAGTAGTCACTAGAAAATAAGCTTTCAAAGTCTCGCTATTCTAAATGCACATTTATGGCAAGGGTTACTGATTTCAGTTTACTGGATTATACTACACTTTACCATATTTAAAGCAGTTTGAAAATCAATAAAGTCCATCATTGTCCCAGTTTGTTTTAATATTCTTTGTGTTAAAAATTATGGGGTTTAGATATGTATCACATTCATTTAATAAAGCACATATATATGAATATATGCAGGTCTTAATTGATTCTAGATGAATATAGCAATAAAATGAGGGTGCATCCCTTCTTACTTATAGCTGGATTTTGACCTCTGAAAAATCATAGCATTTAGCATTCACGCTTCAGAAAGAGTTACTCATGTCAAACCAGTGTCAGAATACTGATGAAATTTCTGATTCAGTCATGCAAAGTTTTTAAATAATTAAAAAATATCAAAGTACATTTGTTCGGAACAAAAGGATCACATTCTCACACTGCTAAATATTTCAGGTAGCTGTCTGATCAAAACAGCATTACACAATCTGCTATGTGCCAGCAATAGTAAATGTGAAAGACCCAACACTGCAAAGACACACTGAGATCAGCTCTTACTCATGTGAAGTCTCAAAAGGCTTCTCTTGTGAGTTGTTAACAATTGTAAGAGAAACACTTGGGAAGCCCTGTTCTGCAGCCCAGTAATTAATGGTTTGGTCATCACCAGCACAAGGCCAGAGGCTTAGCTGAGAGCTAGCTCTCAGGACATGCCTGCCTCTGTCTTGGCAAGAGCTGGTTTTATCCACGGCAGAGAATGCCTGGTGGCCACGTGCCTATGCCCCCACTACATTGGCTTCACCCCAGCACCTGTAGCTGGGGGCTGGCACTCCTACGTGGTCACTGTACCGTCGGGGGTAACTGGGCTGGGTGAGGGCAATGTGCAGTTCCCAAACTTTGCCAAGGAAGTGGTGAAGGAATAGCAAGTAAGAAAATTCAAAAAGGTTGCCTCAAGTAGACTCCAAAACTCAAGGGGAAGAACCAAGATGCTAATTACTGTTAAAGTCTTCTCTATTTTCCCAATGAGGACTGAATAGTCAATCTTAAGAGCTGGAGAAGTGCTGGAAGGGATGGCATAACACCAAGTAACAGGGGAAGTTAGTAGTAAGTTTATGTATAAAACTGTAACAATATAGTTAACAAAACTTTAATAACTATATAATATTAGATACTTTCATTAAACAGTCAAAACTAATTAGATAAACCATTAATTCTCCGCATATAAAATGCATTCCCCTTTGTCCAAAAGAAGATTTTGATCGCAACAAGTCATGGCTGCATGTTAAAAATCTTCTGACTCCTTTTTTAATATAATCACTTCATATAACTGTTTAAATTTTTCTCTTTTCTTGGTATAAACAAGCTTGTCAGGATTTACTATATGTAAGAGCATTTTTAAGGAAAAAATCTTTCATTAAATAACAATTTTAGTTTTGATTAAAATGTAACCTTTTTGATATAAAAGAAAAACTGATGGTTTTTTCCCCAACAACCTAGAATAGATTTATATTCAAAAACTAATTAACCTGTTGCCAAGAGTCAGTTTTGTCTCATAAAAATTCAGCTCAACTGAAAAACATAACAAGCAGTGTTGTCACTGATGACTGCTGGATGCAAAATCTTGACTATAGCTACAGCAAGTTTCAGTGTCAAAATATGGTCTGAGAAGTGCCCCCAGAAAATTCAGTGGTTGTGTGTGTTGCTTTTTGCAGGGGTAGAGTTAATTTTCTTCACAGTGGCTAGTAAGGGGCTATGTTTTGGATTTGTGCTGAACACAGGCTTGATAATACAGAGATGGTTTTGCTATTGCTGAGCAGAGCTCACACAAAGCTAAGGCCTTTGCTGCTTTTTGCACTGCCATGTTGGTGAGAAGGCCAGAAAATTCAGTGGTTGTGTGTGTTGCTTTTTGCAGGGGTAGAGTTAATTTTCTTCACAGTGGCTAGTAAGGGGCTATGTTTTGGATTTGTGCTGAACACAGGCTTGATAATACAGAGATGGTTTTGCTATTGCTGAGCAGAGCTCACACAAAGCTAAGGCCTTTGCTGCTTTTTGCACTGCCATGTTGGTGAGAAGGCTGGGGGTGCATGGAAAGTTGGGAGGAGACACAGCTGGACAGGTGACCCAAACTGACCAAAGTTCCACACCACACAAAGCTAAGGCCTTTGCTGCTTTTTGCACTGCCATGTTGGTGAGAAGGCTGGGGGTGCATGGAAAGTTGGGAGGAAGCTGGACAGGGCTTGATAATACAGAGATGGTTTTGCTATTGCTGAGCAGAGCTCACACAAAGCTAAGGCCTTTGCTGCTTTTTGCACTGCCATGTTGGTGAGAAGGCTGGGGGTGCATGGAAAGTTGGGAGGAGACACAGCTGGACAGGTGACCCAAACTGACCAAAGGGATATTCCACACCATATGACAACATGTTCAGCACATAAAGTGGGGAAAAGGAGGAAGACAGGGATGTTTGGAGTGATGGCTTTTGTCTTCCCTTTCTGAGTTTTACCCCCCTGATTCTCCCCTGGATCCTGCTGGCAGGGGACTGAGCAAGTGGCTGCATGAGGCTTGGTTGCTGGCTGGGGTTAAACTATGACACTGTGCTAGGTACTGAATGAAAAGATGAAAGTTTGGGGTTTTTTTGAGCACAGAAGTTGGAAAAATGTACTAAGAGGAAAAAGAAGCAGTAGACCATTTTACAGATGTAAATGAACCGATATTGCCTTATAGATCAGTCAGTACAGCTCTCTATCACTTGTCTAACTGGCAGACAACAGATACAGTATGGCTCATGATACATAGCATTTGGCTTGTCATCTTTTTTCTGCATGAGACAAAAATCAGGTACAAATTCAGCATATGTTTTTTGTACAGACTAATATTTCTTCATGCCACTGTGCTGGGTCTGGCATCTACAGACTCTATCAATTGCTGTCACCTCCCCCAAGAGAAGGAAAAAAAGACTACAGTCCCCCTTCCCCCATACCTACATACACATTCAACTTAGAAGTGCAGCTTTGGACAAAAGAATGTGATCAAACCCAGATATTTTGTGTTTCTTGTGACTTGTTTCTTGTAGAGGACAAAATTACAATTTTTTAATGTTTAAGTCTATGACCAGGAGATAATGGTCACAGCAGCATACTACCCCAGAATGAAATCAAATATTCCCACTTTGAGAACTGCAGAACTAATGCCTTCCCCAGGACAGCTCTCACTGTTCTTTTTCTTCCTTCTTATCTTGGCATATATTGTCTCTTCCTCACATTTCCTTTTGCTTTCTTTCAGCCTCCCAAACTATTCCTTTTTGATTTCCTGTCTAAGAGGACCAGCATTTCAACAGAAATGTTGAAAGCCATAATTGACTGAGCTTTAAGTGAAGAAGCAGTGCCAGATATCCCACACATTATCAGGAAGAAACACTACTCTTTTCAGGAGCAATGTGGGTCATATGCAATTCAGCATCAAGGATCAGAATGTTACCTGAGATCTACCACTTCCTCAGGAAACTCCCCTGCTTCTGACTTCTGTAACCTATCTTCTCTACTTTAAATTCCTCCTGCCTAACTATATGATTCTGCATGTACCACCTGGGAGCCCAGACTAGGGTGAGGATCTATTTTTATTCTAGAACTTCGACACAAGCACAGATTGAATTCGTGGCTATGTTCATCAGCCTATGGTGTGTAGCAAGGGTACATAGCTATCAATCTCCTCAAAATATACTAGCATGCAAACAGACTATAGCAGGCTTTCGTACAGTGGAAGATCAGCCAGTGATTTCAGTCATTTTAAAAGAATACTTTCAAAAGCCAAGTGCTTTGCTCCAGTGTTTCCAGTATGTGAAATGTTATGCACAGCCTCCAGCAAAGACTGCAGATTTCCTAAAGAACTTGTAAAAGTCCCATCCTCAAAACTGTTGTCTGTCCAGCCATTTTCACACCACAGTTGCTTTCGTACAGTGGAAGATCAGCCAGTGATTTCAGTCATTTTAAAAGAATACTTTCAAAAGCCAAGTGCTTTGCTCCAGTGTTTCCAGTATGTGAAATGTTATGCACAGCCTCCAGCAAAGACTGCAGATTTCCTAAAGAACTTGTAAAAGTCCCATCCTCAAAACTGTTGTCTGTCCAGCCATTTTCACACCACAGTTGCAAAGCAAAGAGAAAAGTTTAAAGAAATGAGGCTGGAACATGGCTCTGAGGCCTTGGAGGTTTTCAGACCTATCATAATCTTTCAAGCGAATATTTACTTTATAATCAAACTAACTGTCCACTTCTGCCAAGAAATAGCTAAGAAGAATAGTAAACACAGGTCATCTTAATGGATGTAACTTTATTGCCATGAACACAAGGAAAGTTCCAGTTTCATCACAAAGGTCAAGTCTAACAGCCATTTAAGAATTCAAATGAATGGCATCTTTGCATCCTGACCATAAGCAAAGTATACTGGAATAGTTCCAGACACCTGACAGCCTTTATTTAAGGATGGCCAAGTATATACAGGAGTAGTAAAAGATAATGACATTGGCCAGAATGAGTAAATCATGTAGTTTGTTACCTTGTACTACAATACTTCTAAGAGACTTGCAAAATCAGCAACTGAACATTAGAAATCTAACCACTTTTAATGAAGATGAAGAGAAAAATTCTCGTTGAACTATTACAATGTAATGCATAGGAGACTATTAAGAACTGAACTAAGAGCTTGA